GGCGCGGCTGCTCTGAGCCCGCAGGCATGGCGGTGCTTGTGCGTGCAGGGTCTGGCCGGGGCGCCCCTCACCCCGTCTCCTCCCCGGCCAGGGCATGAACCCCAGCTACGACGACTACGCCGACTCTGATGAGGACCAGCACGACGCCTACCTGGAGCGCATGAAGGAAGAGGGCAAGATCCGGGAGGAGAACGCGAATGACAGCAGCGAGGACTCGGGCGAGGAGACCGGTGGGTGCCCGGCGCCCGGTCTGGGAGGGCAGCAGCCGGGCCGAGCTGATGCTGCCTCCCCGTTCTCTTCCAGACGAGTCCTTCAACCCCGGAGAGGAGGAGGAGGACGTGGCTGAGGAGTGAGTGTGGCACGCTGCCTTTCTGGTGTTGGTGGGGTGACCCAAGCGGGCACGCGGGACAGTGTCCCCTGCAGTGCCCAGGGCCTTGCCGTGTGGGAAGAGCAGCTACTCTACGCGCCAACAGCGCCTCGGGGCTCCACAAGCTGCGGCTTTTGATTCGTGTGTCAAAAACAGCACAGGCTGACGGCACGGAAGGGCTTGCTGTGAATCTGAGTAGCTGCTGAGCCCGGGGACCAGACTGGCTTCGGCCCGTAACCAGAGCTCAGAGTGGGAGACAGCCGTTCCCCAAATTGATTTCCGCAATCTTGGGGTTTGCCTCAGATGGGGCCGGATGCCCCTCACAAGTCCGAGAGTGTTTTAACCCTGCAGCCTCTTCTGCGGCCAGCAGAGCCAGCTGTGTGGTCCCCGGCCCTTCCTGGGTACTGGGGCATGCTGGGCAGGGCTTGGGGCGGGCCAGGGCAGGAGCTGGGGTGAACACGGAGCAGAACCAAACCAGCACAGCCCAGCATTCCCTGAGTGCGCCCTGCACAGAGCTGTGCTTGGCGGAGGGGCAGCAGGTGCCTGGGCGCTGTGGGCCCGCTTTGGGCAGCTGGGTAGGACCATGGGGCCCTGCAGGGAGTATCGGCTGAGTTGCCAAGAAGCAGCTCCGGGGCCACAGGCGGCTTTTCCTCCTCTCAGCGGGAAAGTTCAGGATGGCGATGGACTGGGGCAGTGGGTGTTGCCTGCCCCAGGCCCAGAGATGAGATGCTGTTTCGGTGCCTGGTGGGAACAAGCAGAGCCTGGGTCCACGCTGGCTGAGGAGTCCCTTGGACCCTGGTTCTGTCACAGGACCCGCGTGGTGGTGGCTGGGGACGGCGGCGGCCCTGAGCTGTCCTTGCTTCCTGAGTCTGAGCCCTGCCCTCGGTAGGTTCGACAGCAACGCCTCGGCCAGCTCCTCCAGCAACGAGGGTGACAGCGACCGGGAAGAGAAGAAGAGGAAACAGCTCAAAAGGGCCAAGGTGGCCAAGGATCGCAAGAGCCGCAGGAAGACTGTGGAGGTGCAGTCCCTGCTAGCTGGGAGCGTGCGTGTGCGCATCTGTTCTCGACCCCTGCCCACCGTGGCCAGGACCTGTGGGTCTGTCCTTTGGGGGCTGCTTTTTGCAGCCGGTTATTCTGGCCTTAGAAGGGTCTTGGACGTTTGCCTGAGCTCCTCTGCTTCGGAAGGTCTGAAAGGGGCGACGGCCGCCCTGTCCCAGGGACCCCGTCCGCTGGAGAGTGCTGGGGCAGAATGCCTGGGAAAGTCACATAAGGGAAGAAAGGGCGCGTGGGATCAGTGTCTGCGCGTGGCCCTGGCCCTGTCGCACGAGGCCTGTGGTGAGGCAGGAACAGGGCACTGGGGTGTCCGGCGAGGCCGCTCACCGCACGGCGGCCAGGAGGCGAGGTCAGCAAGGAAGAGCCGGGGAGGAAGGGGCCAGGGCCAGGTGGGGTCCGAGGTCAGGCCGCACCACTATGCTCTGCAGGGAGCCGCATTTCTGTCACCCCCCGCGGGGCCTTTGCCTCGGTACAGGCGGCACCTTCATGACCCCAACGGTGATCTGAGTAAGTCCTTGGAGGACACGAGGGGTGCCTGGAAATAAATGGAGGGCTCATGGCATCTGGGTCCCTGCCTAGGCAAAGAAGGGCAAAGACCCCAACGCCCCGAAGAGGCCGATGTCCGCCTACATGCTGTGGCTCAACGCCAGCCGCGAGAAGATCAAGTCGGATCACCCCGGCATCAGCATCACGGACCTTTCCAAGAAGGCCGGCGAGATCTGGAAGGGGATGTCCAAGGAGAAGAAGGAGGTGAGGGGTGGCGGGAGGAGGAGGGATGCTGGACTCCGGTGCATCCCGCACCGTGGGCCTGGCCGTGCCTCTGTCCGTGCCGCAGGAGTGGGACCGCAAGGCTGAGGACGCCAGGAGGGAATACGAGAAAGCCATGAAGGAATATGAGGGAGGCCGCGGGGAGCCATCGAAGAGGTGAGTGGCTGCTGTGACCTCGGCGGCCCCGGAGCTGCTTGTCAGCAGATTTGTTTATTCTTGGAGGGCAGATGTGAGAGTTGGGAGTTAAAGATCGTAGTTGTTTCTAAGTGTGGACATGGCGGGCCATTGTCCAAGGGTGGTCATTAAATTTGGAATTCAACTTAATCCATAGATAAGGCCCAGTTTTCCTAGAGGGCCGGTTGTATTTGCAGGTATGGGGAAGTTCAGAAAAATAAATTATTCTCAACCAGGTGTGGTGGTGCACGCCTGTAATCCAAGCACTCTGGGAGGCTGAGGCAGGAAGACTGCAAGTTTGAGGTCAGCCTGGGCAACTTAGTGAGACCTTGTCTGAGAATAAAAAAGGGCTCAAGGTATGGCTTAGTGCAAGGGCCTTGGGTTCAATTCCTGGTGCTGGGGGAAAAAACTGTGGAGAATGGAAAGTTCCTGTGAATTTTAAAAGATAAAGCAACATTTTTGCACAGGGGGCTGCTTCAGCCATGACCTGTCTCTTGTGCTCGTGTTTGAGAACAGCTCCCTGGGCCTTTGGGTGTCACTCATGGCTGTTCACCTTGAGCAGCAAGAGTGTGGCTGGGCTTGGGGAAAGCTGCGGGCCCGAGGGAGGGAGCTGAGATCCAGCCTGTCCTCCCTCTTGCTGCTCTAGAGACAAATCCAAGAAGAAGAAGAAAGTGAAAGCGAAGATGGATAAGAAATCCACGCCCTCTCGGGGCTCCTCATCCTCCAAGTCCTCATCCAGGCAGCTAAGCGAGAGCTTCAAGAGCAAGGAATTTGTATCCAGTGATGAGAGCTCTTCAGGAGAAAACAAGAGCAAGAAGAAGAGGCGGCGGAGTGAGGTGGGAGAGTGTGGGAGTGAGTCCGGGCGATCTGTGTGAGGGGTGGGTTGGAGTTGGGGTGACTGGATCGCTGTTGAGCTGGAGGAGGAGGTGGGGTTCCCAGCCTTCCTCCCAGTATGCCCCACTCTTCCACTTAAGAGTTTTGGTTTCTAGGACTCTGAAGAAGAGGACCTGGCCAGTACCCCTCCCAGCTCAGAGGATTCAGTGTCGGGGTCCGACGAGTAGAGGAGGGAATCCCTGTCCACCTGCAGGCTCCCGCCCGCGTCTCCCTGCCAGTGTCTCCTCCCGAGGCGCGAACCTTGGATTCTGTGCCATCTGAATCCGCTCTGCTGGTGGCGCAGACGTCACCGGGCATGGGTCGGCTCCTTGTAACTGGGAGAGTGGATGTGAGGCTGGGCAGGGTCCCCGCCTGGTCCTCCTCTTGAGGCCTTGAGGACTCGGCCGGCGCTTGTCCTGTGCCCATTGCCGCAGCAGGGTCAGGCAGAGGCAGGCCTGTGGCTACTTTGGGGCCTATTTCTACTTTTATTTTGTATTTCTGGTCTGTGGAATCAGCATTTAATAAAGGAATCTGACTTTGGAAGCCACGTCCATGTGCTCCTTTCCAACTCTTGGCAGTTTGGGCTCACCTCCCATGGTGGTGGGCAGCATCCCGCCCTGCAGGGCTGCCGGTCGCCAGGTACATCCTCTTATGTTCCTGAGGAACGGACTCGCTTTCTGCCTCCTGAGAGTGGAATGAGCGATGATCTGATTAGCAAGGATCTCTCTTCCTTGCACTCCATTAGCCGCGCCTAGGCGGTAGCGCTGAGCACCTATGAGTCAAGGATCTTCCCGGCCTGACCTGAGCTAATAGAATCAGAATCGATGCTTCCCGCAGACCGGAAGCCGAAACCCGAGCCCGGAGCCGGGAAGGATAAGTGCGTGTGCGCGCGCCCGCGCGCCTGAGCGATGGGGGTGCGGGAAGCTTTTGTTCTTTGGATGAAGGGTCAGAAACGGGGTGTTTGAACCTGTTTCAGCAAAGGAAGGCTAAAATGGAAACGAGAGGCGCCACGCAGACTCTCGAAGGCTCGCAGTACGAGTTTGTGCACGTGGGGCGGCCGCGTGGCCAAGTCCTCCAGGGTAGTTGCGGGAAGTTCGGATCCGCCAGGGGCTACCTTCTTGCCGCCACGCCTCTATGGTGCTGCAATCACTGCCGGCGGCCGGGAGGGGCGGGTCGCGCCTCTCTAGGCTACCGTCTCGGTGGCGCGGAGCACTTGCGTCAGTCTCTCCAGCCCGAGCCCCTCATTTGCATGCTCATGAATAACTCAGCGCGGCTGGCGAGTTCAGTTTTCCACGCCCGCTTCCGCCTGTACATGAATATTCATGAGGC